TCCCAAGTCATTCCCAGCCACTATAAAAGAAGAAGATGTCAGATTATCCAATTACTTCCTTTCCCATGTTTCCCCAGCAGTTCAGAAAATTCAGTAGGAGGGTGGGAGGGCTAGGAGGTCTCTGCCCAGAAATAGTATTTTCTGTGGAGAAAATGATGTTTCCTGAAGAGAAAACACTGTTTCTGAGCAAAACAACCTCACATGTAGAATAAGTCCCAAGCTACAAAGATTCTCCTCAGTCCAGGATTTATCACATATGGGGGAATTTTTTTTTTACACTCAAGATACACATTTTCCAATCATTTTCCAAGTATTTTCGAATATTATTTTCATCCCACAGTTCATAGTGTCCTCTCTGCTTGATTTTGCTAACTATATAACAGTGTAACATGTTTGAAACCACTAAACTGTGCAATAGACATTCTGAAAACTGTGAAGTTATTAATGACAGTTTCCTCTAGTGATTTTTTTTTATCCACTACACACACACAAACACACCCTCACTGAATTAAATGTATTCTGTGGGGCTGTTTAATGTGATATTCAGTTAAATTGCTAATGACTTTGTGCCAAAGATTTTTTATGGACTGCTGTGTCTCAAGTCAAACATCAACCCCACTTGATACATGTTGAGCATTACTTATTAATACAATCAATAGATATAGTCAATCAGAGGAAAGATAAAGGGAAAACCTTTCCTTAAAAAGCAATTTGATTTGTTCTTCCCCTAAATCTTTCCCTTAAAAGCTGTATAAGGAAAGAAATGATATATTCAGTGAATAAGCAGGGAAAATATTCCACATGGAATGCAGAAAATTGTTCATTTTTGTTATATGCCTTCAAGGCTACTCCAACTTATAGTAACTCTAGCCTAGAGATTTCTTGACAAGTGTATTCATAAAAGGTTTACCATCACTTTCATCTTAGGCTGAGAGAGCAGGACTAAGCAAAGGTCACCCCATTGGCTCAGTAGAAATTCTACCATTGGACACCCAGAGTTCTAGTTGAACACTCAGTTCATTGTACCACATGGGCTCAACACAGAAAATAGTATGTAAATCAAAGATATAGGTTGACAAATTGTTACATCATTTCATTACTGAGATATAAGATTCTTTAAGAGTTTAATAATTGTACAGAAGAAGAGATTTCAGCAGGTATTGTTTACAGGAAGGTCTTTGTTCTTTTGGCCAAGTTAAATCTATCAAAGTTGCATCAAATTCTCCACAGCAAATGAAGAATAAGTGATGCCCATTTCCGGATCTGTCCTGGGAAATGCCTTCAAAGAAATTGAAAAGCAGAAGGATCAACTGGGATCAGAGCTTTTTACTGTTCCTTGACGTGATTTGAGGTGCAAGATCAAAGAAATGATTTTTTAAGGTTTAAGTGCTAACTTTGTTCCATTTTGTCTGAGCAGATGGGGCATGATGCCAGAAAAGGTTTGGCACAAGAAACTCCATGATAAGCTGCCTGCCATGGAGAGAAAATCGCGCTGTTTATATATAGTTCCCCTAAAGTGGCTACAACTTTTTGTTTCATGAGTGTATAATGTAGTTGGTGGAACAAGAAACAAATGAAACTAATTTGTTGTGAAAGGGAAGAAGGTTGTTACAGATTCCTTCTCCATGTGGAAAACATTCCAAATTAGGCATCATTTCTAAGCTACATTGTTGGTCTAACAGCTGTTACTTTTTCCCAGGAAATATTGTTTTATGATAGTAGGAATTTCAAGTAGAGATTTCTCATGCATGCTGTGCTAATGATGTGTCCCTTCAAGTCATTTCTGACTTATGGCAACCCTAAGACAAATTTATCACAGGGTTTTCTTAGCAAGATTTGTTGAGGAGAGTTGTCTTTGCCTTCCTCTGAGACTGAGAGAGTGTGACTTGTCCAAGACCACTCAGTGGATTTCCCTGGCCAAGCAGGGATTTGAACTCTGGTCTCTAGAGTCCTAGTCCAACACTCAAAGCACTACACCATGCTGGGCCTCCAAATTACTACTCTAAGAATTCGAATGCAAAGAAACTTGACAGACCCAGTTTGTATAATGGATGGCCCATGATGATTGAATGGGACTGTCTTACTTCTGATTAAGAAGCATAGGTTTTATTTTACACATTCTGTGGGTAATGTTGGGAAATCCTATGCTCAGATAATGAATGAATAATTAAACTTTGTACTAAAACATCCAAAGGAGTATTTTCTCTTTCCACCATACTTTTACTTTCTAGTCTTCTGCTGAATTTCTCCAACACAAAGATAAAACTATTATAGGTGGCCATGTTTGCATCTGCACTACAGAAATAATGCAGTTTTACACCTTTTTAACTGCCATGGCTCAGCACTATGAAATCCTTGGATCTGTAGTTCCTAGTGGTGCAAGAACTCTCTGACAGAGTTCTCTAAATATCTCGCAACTACAAATCCAAGAATTCCATAGCATTCCTGTTAAAACAATATGAAACTGCTTCATTTCTCTAGTGCAGATGCAGTCTCAAAAATTAACATGTTTTTTTTCTTGCTTCTAAATGCTTTGACATATTAAATTGAGCTGTTAATGAAGGAATATGCATTTGAATTTTAACCTTTTGCCAAATATTCAAAGTTGATAGAAATGGTTGTGGTATTCTGAACTGGCTATCCTGCATCTGACAAAAAAACAAACATAAGCCTATTTTTCTGAAAGGTATGCAGAATGTTGGAGATTCTGTTGAAACACAACATATCTGTTGTTTCACATAATCAAAATTTATTCAGGTTAGAGCTTTTCTCAAGTAGGTAAGGTATGACTGCTTGCCATTGTAGTTCTTGCAAAAGTTACTATCCAGAAATCATGGCTATGCAAGTTAACAAATGGGGGGGATGTTTGTGTTCAAATGGACCCTCCTCACTTACCTCATCCAACATTTTTGTAAATTAATTCTTGGTTCATTTGAATGCAACTAGGCATCTATGAGTTAAATATACATAGACCTCAACTCATACTAGATTTTATAAGTTAGAACCAAAATTGTTCCTGCTAACAATAGAAATATCCAACTACATAAACACAGCAGAAAAGAGAACACAAAGGCTGTATGTACACTGCAGAATTAATGCAGATTGATGCCACTTTAACAACTATGGCTCACTAAGGAATCCTGGGATTTGTAGTTTTAAGAGACCCTTTTCTGTCAGAAAACTCTGGTGCCTCTCCAAGCTATGAATCCAAGATTTCCCTAACAGAAGTTAAAGTGGTGTCAAATTGATTTATTTCTGCAATGTGGTAGCAGCCTAAGGCTGCATCTGTGCTGCAGAATTAAAGTACTTTGGCACCGCTTTAACTGACATGACTCAATGCTATGGAATTCTGGGATTTGCAGTTTTGTGTCATATTTAGACTTCTCTTTCAGAGTGCTCTGATGCTATAACAAGCTACAATTCCCAGGGTTCCATAGCACTGAGCCATGACAGTTAAACTGGTGTCAAGCTGCAGTAATTCTGAAATGTGGCAGCAGGCAAAGTCAGATCTACTTGGGTCAGGATTAAATTACCATGTATGCTGGTTTTATTACATGGCAAAGATTACGACTTATTTGGGGCTAGGTAAGAGCCAGTATGGCATAGTAGTTTGAGTGTTGGACTATGACTCTGGAGACCAGGGTTCAATTCCCATCTCAGCCATGAAACCCACTGGGTGACCTTGGGCAAATCACAGTCTCTCAGCCTCAGGGGAAGGCAATGGCAAAACACGTCTGATGAAATCTTACCAAGAACACCCCATGATATGTTCTCAGGATTTCCATAATTCAGAAATAACATGAAGGTAAAAAACATACACACACAAGCTATGCTGAACACAACTGAGTTTTCTGTTGAGTTAAAACTATACTACATTGTTGGGAATCTTACTTCATTTGACATAATTTTCCTTGTATAATTTTTCAGTGGAGAATAACTTTTTGCATTAAATCAGGCTTACACTACTGAACTCTGAATCTCAAGGCTCAAAATAGAATCTCTTGTGGAAAGAGAAAGAACATGCAGCACTACTTCAGGTTTTCTAATTAATTTGAAATGGGAAATCAAATGGTTTTTGCCTATTGGGTATGAATAATTTTACTGCGTACATTTATGATCAATTAAATTAAACAACTTTCAAATCAAAATGGCATAAATTATCTATAATGGAATATTAAACTAATGATTTATTGGTGAGGCATTGCTAACACACATGCTATTATAAATGCACATACTGTGTAAAGATATATTTATAAATACGTATAAAATCTAATCTCATCATAAGCAATGCTCTACCTGGGAGTTTTCACAAAGATGCTTTTAATATCATTATGACAGCAGCTTGAGTTAAGAAGACAGTTATTTCTCAGATGCCAAATGCCTTTAATTAAGAGAATATTGTTCCGGTATTTCAATCAACTGCTGAAAATTATTTTTAGACTGTGTTCAGGTTGACACCACAGACTCTGGAGGAACTCTGGTAGATTCTGATATGAATTGATCTAATCTAAATCTCCTGAACTAATGCATGGATTAGGATTTAGTTATATTTCAGCTTTCTCCCTTTGTTTCCATGCATATTTTTATTTATTTAGTATATGTCCCACCTTGAATGCTGTGATGGGAAAAAGACAGAATAAAATCTAATTATTTAATTAAAATTAATTTCCTCCTCCAAATGGGATCCAGGGTGGCTTACAATATAGATTAAAACTGGCTTCCATCCTGGGAGAAAAGCAGGGTATGAATCCAATAAACAAACAAACAAATCCAAAAACCAACCACTATAGGAAAGAAAGAAAGAAAGAATCACATTTATTAAATAATAATATAAACTATCCTATTAAAACAGTTCTAATTTAAAACATGTTCTGTTACAATACTGTTCTCAGCTAAAACATGAATCCATTTACTTTTTAAGATCTTTATTTTGAGGAAAGTATATTTTAAAGCTATTTGTAGGAGTCTGCATTTTGTGAAAAATAATTTCAGAATAACATAAATTGACTTTTAAACAATAAAATCACAGTTCTGGAAATGGATTAGTACTGGGAATATAAATGAGATGATGATAATAATAGTAATAATAATAATAGTAATAATAATAATAATAATAATAATAATAATAATAATAATAATAATATGTACGCTGCCCCTCTAAGCACAATTGGGGCAGCTGACAACAATTAAAAGTACATACAGTATAATCCAAGAAAACTCATACTTCATTGTATGATCTTGTTTCATTCTTCCTTTTGTCATACCTTCCCTCATCTGTTATAGATGTATTATTTACTATAGATAGTAGAGCTGCAATATTTAGTAAATCAGTTGGTTAGATTACCCCACCTGATTAATTTAACAATTTAAATTATTCAGTACACAACTTTGAACATGCATTAAAAATATTAAAGTCTGTCTAACTAATTAATTGGGGCACCTTTCGAAATGCTTAAACTGAGTATTGTGATTGCTCAACTAAGGACCTTATCACACGGGGTCCAAAGCAGACAGAATCCAAACGA